AAAATTGAATAATCGAAGTAACTTTCTCATTGCAATGAGAACAATCAGGAGTTCGTTCTCATCGGAATCAGAATCATATCAGAATGATCATTTTCTTCTTCTCATCGTAATCAGAAAAATCAGCACCAACGGCGGTGGCTGGCGCAAACGGCGAACAGGAGGGTGTGTGTGGTCGCTCGCTCGTCACCTGGCGTGAGGAGCGGAAGCGTTGCTGTATTGGCCCGATTCCACCGCCGAGGAGAACTCCACTCCTCGCCACTCCACCGTGCGAGCGGGAATCTTGACCAGAGGCCGTCCGTCCACGTACGTCTGCACGCATCGCCGGCGCAAGGGAACAAAAGGCACACAGAACAACGGTTGTCAACGCTTGTCGTTCGTTCCTCTCGCTCAGTACCGACGCCTTTCGCACCACTATTAGCAACGTCCACAAACAAGTGCAGCACCCATTACACACTATTACTTGAGGACGAAACATCTACGGATAGGCACTGCTACAGCAGCACCTGTACAAAGAGGCCCTTCGGAATACGACAACCGCAACCGAAACCACCGACAACGACAATTCGTACAGCAAGGCACTGCAACAGCAGCACCACTACCTCTTGAGTGCGACGGAACCACGTTTTTCAAAAGCAAAACCATGATTGATGTTCAATAGCAAGCAAGCCAATTCTTGTTTCTCCCCCACCGTCTTTGCACACTCTGCTGTGAGCCAGGCGATAGTGATGGATTGAAACTCTTTCTTTGCATGTGTGTTTTTGGTTTTCGTCCTATTGGGTACCCAGCAACGAGAGGGAGACATTGACATACACCAAAACGACCGTGGCCGTACCCGTGTACACGGGCTCACGGCAGCACCAACCTAACCTCAAGTGGTCCCGGGAAAATGCCGTTGTTCGCTCGACACATGGAATATTCAAGTCATACTTTGAGCAGCGCCCGATGTACTGCCGGTTCAAGGCGCTGGCAACTACCGGCACTATTGCGGGAACCACGGCCGTACCTGCGATTTGGAGTGGCGCATCATGACCACTCGAATGAGAGCCCTGAGCAGTTCCAGCGCCCCGTAGTCCTTCGCCTCGAAGGGCTCCCCGACCTTCTTCTCCCAGAAACCATCGTTCTGCAGGCTGAACGGCCACACCTGCGGCGGAGGGAGGCAGGATAAGGCTTGGGTCAGTTTTCCTGCAGTCAGGCTGGACGGGTGATTGTGACTTTGCTGCAATGAGGCCGGTAATTCTCGCTGCTGCCGTCAGGAAGGGCGGTGTGTGCGACGTCACTGCAGCGAGGCGTGTGGTGTTGCTGCAGTCAGGCAATACGGCGCGTGTCAGACCTCCAGTCAGGTACGACGCGTGAGCACCAGCCCATCCATACTTGTTGCGATTCCGACTATTGCCACCGTAACTTGCCGTGTCGGCCGTCCTACTGCTGCTCGAGTGCGATCCTGATGGGGGGCACATGGAAGGCACCACACTATATTCAGCAGCAGTTCGCACCTCTTCTACAAAGAAACACATGAAGTAACGATATATCACCATTCGAAACCTCGCAAGGCTATCACGTCCCCTCCCCGTCTTTAATTAATACTAGCTACTGCTGTGTTTGTATTTCTTTAGTGCAAGCGTCACGCTGAGATATCGTAGAACCTACCAAAACACATGCCAGCGAGCGAGAAAAAACAAGCGACGCGCATTTGTCTATAGAGATGGTTGACCCCCACAAGGCCATCGTTTGTCCCGACTGGCCCACCACGGCCTCATCGAAACAAAATTGACGATTTTACGTTGTACTCATCGGTCCAACTCTCAGTGTCTTGACGGTGCTCAAAGGCAAAAGAAAAAAGGTCACGGTATTGACTGCACTCAGGGAGCAACGTCCGTTGTGTTCATTGCGCCCAGCCGGTGAAATTTCGCTGCACTCAACTCGCACCCATGGGTCTAGAGCTCATCGTACTCATTCCAATCGTGGGAGCAACGTTTATTGTGTTCATTGCGTCCAGTGGGTGAAATTTTCACTGCACTCAACTCGCACCCATGGGTCTAGAGCTCATCGTATTCATTCCAATCGTGGGAGCAACGTTCAATGTGTTCATTGCGCCCAGTGGGTGAATTTTTCGCTGCGCTCAATTAGCACACATGGGTCTAGAGCTCATCGTACTCATTCCAATCGTGGGAGCAACGTTCCTTGTGTTCATTGCGCCCAGTGGGTAAAATTTTCATGACACTCATCTCCCACCCATGGGTCTAGAGCTCATCGTACTCATTCCAATCGTGGGAGCAACGTTCCTTGTGTTCATTGCGCCCAGTGGGTAAAATTTTCATGACACTCATCTCCCACCCATGGGTCTAGAGCTCATCGTACTCATTCCAATCGTGGGAGCAACGTTCCTTGTGTTCATTGCGCCCAGTGGGTAAAATTTTCATGACACTCATCTCGCACCCATGGGTCTAGAGCTCATCGTACTCATTCCAATCGCGGAAGCAACGTTCAATGTGTTCATTGCGTCCAGTGGGTGAAATTTTCATGCACTCATCTCCCACCCATGGGTCTAGGCCTCATCGTACTCATTCCAATCGTGGGAGCAACGTCCGTTGTGTTCATTGCGTCCAGTGGGTGAAATTTTCATGCACTCATCTCGCACCCATGGGTCTAGGCCTCATCGTACTCATTCCAATCGTGGGAGCAACGTCCGTTGTGTTCATTGCGTCCAGTGGGTGAAATTTTCATGCACTCATCTCGCACCCATGGGTCTAGAGCTCATCGTACTCATTCCAATCGTGGGAGCAACGTTCCTTGTGTTCATTGCGCCCAGTGGGTGAAATTTTCATGACACTCATCTCGCACATATGGGCCTGGAGCTCATCGTACTCATTACACTTGTGGGAGCAACGTTCATTCTGTTCATCGCGCCCGTTGGGTGTAAACTTCATGACACTCATCTCCCACCCATGGGTCTAGAGCTCATCGTACTCATTCCAATCGTGGGACAACGTTCCTTGTGTTCATTGCGCCCTGTGGGTGAAATTTTCATGAAACTCATCTCGCACACACGGGCCTTGAGCTCATCGTACTCATTCCAATCGTGGGAGCAACGTTCCTTGTGTTCATTGCGCCCTGTGGGTGAAATTTTCATCACTCATCTCGCACACATGGGCCTTGAGCTCATCGTACTCATTCCAATCGTGGGAGCAACGTTCCTTGTGTTCATTGCGCCCTGTGGGTGAAATTTTCATCACTCATCTCGCACACATGGGCCTTGAGCTCATCGTACTCATTCCAATCGTGGGAGCAACGTTCCTTGTGTTCATTGCGCCCTGTGGGTGAAATTTTCATCACTCATCTCGCACACATGGGCCTTGAGCTCATCGTACTCATTCCAATCGTGGGAGCAACGTTCCTTGTGTTCATTGCGCCCAGTGGGTGAAATTTTCATGACACTCATCTCGCACCCATGGGTCTAGAGCTCATCGAACTCATTCCACTTGTGGGAGCAACGTTCATTCTGTTCATCGCGCCCATTGGGTGTAAATTTCATGACACTCATCTCCCACCCACGGGTCTAAAGCACATCGAATTGACCGCACTCCCTGGATGAAACAAACTGTCGTGTTCACTACATGCGTGTAACGCTCATCGCGTCAACTGCGCTCATGGGAGCAATTTCTTGGTGGTCATTGCACATTGCACCTAGTTTGTGTAACGTTCACTGCGCTCAATTAGCACCCATGGGTCCACAGCTCATCGTGTTCACTTCAATCAGGGGAACAATGCTTATTTGCGTTCATTGCGCTCCATGCGTGAAAAAAATCATACAGAATATGTTCATGTTTCTATATTCACCTGGAGAAAGTTGAGCTCCCCGTGCAGGCTGTCGATCTTTCCCGCGATGGGTGTCCCCGATACCATCCAACGGTGCGAGGCCTTCACCTGATTCACGTTTCAAAAACGGCGAGAGCGAAACAATTTTTCATAAAATATACATGCAGTTTTCCCATAGTTTTCCGTTTTCTGGTAGATACTTCTGAGAAAAAGTGTTTCTGCAGACACATTTTCAACGACGACAGAGACATGAGAGCAAAAAAACAAATCCCCATCTCGATGGAGGTTCACGACATCATTCCAACGAAGCTTGCTCCAAGTATTGCCCGCTTCGGAACATAAACCCGAATATAAAACCAATACATTAAAGCAGGTCTGCCAGACGACGATGACAGCCGGAGCCACCCGCACAACAGCAGTCGCAAAACCGCCCCCCCCTTCCGTTTCACTCGTGGAATCAACCGCACTACGGCGGTGCCACGAACCGCCCTCCCCTTTCCCTGTCATGGTTCCGGGCACACTCGCTTGCCTGCTGGCACATCTGGGCGATGTTGGTGGTGGCAGTCTTGATCTCCTGGCACTCGTCCAGGACACACCTGTGAAAGTTAATCTACAGCAGCAGCAGCAGCAGCAGTAACGGCGTCCATTTACATCAAAATTGACATTGTGAAGCACATTCGGGCCATAGCTAGCTCGCTCGTCGTTGTCGTCATCACACGCGTATCTCACCAGCAACAAAACACAAACTGCTTGGGTCTACACATGCATTCAGATAGCGCGCGCACTCTACTACGACCTCCAATCTTGGCCGAGGCGCGGGTCGTCACTTCCTATTGTCGGCTACAAATCGCTGCAATAGAGGTTGTGTGGAGGTTCTCAACTGGGCTCACCAAATGGTGCTCCTGGTCTCTGTCTAGATTTAGTGCTGAGCATGAAGTTCACAGGTATCAAGTTCTCAAGTACGGGTGCTATCTGTACAGCCCGTCTGTACAGCAGCACCCACCTTCTGGAACAGGCTCTTCCTGGTGCGGAGGAGCTCGTAGGTCGTCAGGACCACGTCGTTATCCGCCACGAGCGCCGCGTCCACCTTGAAATCCACCCGCACCGTCTCGTCCTCGGCGCCAGAGGCTGCTTCCGCCGCAGCCGCGCCGTTCCCGGAGCCGTGCGTGGAACCCGTACCACCTCCCAACGCCGTTGATGCTGCAGATGCTGCTCTTGATGCTAGGTTAGCGTCGTCGCTACTATCGCTGTCGAACAGTCTTCGGTTTTCGATTCTTCGAACTTGTTCAGCCGTGAGTTCCACATGGCCCTGCATGTGTGTTACCCCCCCCCACGCGCGCGCAATTGTACGCCTCGATTAACAGATGCGGTGGTGTCGAAGAGTAAGAAACCAAAAACAAGGTAGTGAAAGACAAAAAAAAAGGTACCAGGTACTATTGAAACACTCAAAACACAGGGTAGTTTTAAAAGAAACATAGACAAGGTAGTGCTCAAACACTCAAAACACAAAGAAGCGATGACAAAAAACAACGAAAAAAGGAACACTACCATCGCTCCCAGCGAGGAGGTGCGAAAGGCGTGTTTCGTTGTTGGTGTTGTTGATACGAACGATTCCTGCGGACTTGCCTTTCGGAGGCACGAACCCTCGTAGGGGGCTCCTTCCA